TTACGATTCAGTCAGTCCCACTGACAATACTCCTCAGAGGTGTATTTTGTTGTGTGCAATCTGGTCAAATGGGACTGAACCAGGCACCTTTGGCTGAGCAACACGTGGAGCCCTGCCTGGCACAGGCCGGAGCGAAAGGCTTCTCAGGGAGGGCATATCCCAGGGTAGACAACTGCAAACGCTGCTCTTCCTGACAGAGCAACCACCCTCAAGGGGATCCACAGAAACAGGAGAAGAGAGGTCCTTCAGCTCAGTTCTTTCCCTTTAGTCAGTTTATTTGACAAACAAGCCCACTCCAAGCAGATGGAGCCGGCAGAGCTGACACAAGCAGGCTGCAGGTCCATCTCAGCGCCGTGAGGTGGGAGACAACGCTCTCCAAAAAACAAAACGCTGCGCTGCCTGGCTTTAGTACAGTGCAGCCATACAAAAGGAGAAAAATAAGTGCTTAAAAAAAAAAAAAAGAGGCTGTCCCATCACCATCGCTGCAGCCACACAACGGTCCGGAGAAAAGAGGTGGCCAGCGTCTCTCCGTGCATGTGGTGTCCATCGCTCACGGCTGGATCTGTTAAAGAGTTATGTACAAACCCCTCCCCACGCTGCAGAACAGGAGCTTCTCCTTGGTGGGTTTAACTGAACACGGGTTTAACTGAACATGGGTTTAACTGAACACGAGACATTATCGACACTCCTCCCCCAGCCTGCCTGTCCTCCTTAGAGATGGCCAGCCACGATCTTGGCGGAGAATCATCTTCTCGTCAACGCCAGTTATAGAAATAGATTTTCTGCCAAACAGGCAAGTAATCCATCAGTGGCCCTGAAACAGAGAACAGAGGGATCACACACGTAGAAAGGCAAGGCTTCGAAGCTCCACGTATACGGGCTACGGCCCCCCTTCTCGTTACGACACCCAACAATCCCAAATCTCCGGTTATACAACTGGGATGAACCCAAGAACACAACCGTTTTTGCCATCTTTTGCCAAGCTGGGAGACAGCTTTGGGATGTGGTGCCAGAGATCGGAGCAGGACCAAGCAGGGTGTGAACGGTGGTCAGCCCGGCCACGGCATGGGACACCACTCCCTCAGAGCGGACACGGATAACCCGCGTGCAGTGAGTCACGAGGACACTGCTGCAGCACAGGGAAGAGGGAAGGCAGCTCAGCAGTAACCAGCAGGTGCAGGCCCAGAAGCAACTGCTGTAGAGTGAAAATGCTTATGCAGCACACGGCTGAAGGCAGGTTCCAAAGCTGCTCCAAAGTTACTAACTGGAGGAAGCGGCTCTTGAGCTAGCCAGCTCTGTGAACTCCCCAAAGAAAGGACAATCCCACAATTCCAGGCTGATCTAATGCCACGTCGCTGCCATGAATCACTCCACAAAAGGCTTTGCGTCAGCAGGGAAGAGGGGAAGGTAGAATTCTGGCCCATAATAGAGGGATTCTCTGGTGAAGGACTAGAAGACAGACCTGGTTCAGCCCTTTGATTTACAATCGGCTCCTGTCTAGGTCAATCCCTGTAGGCACCCACTTAGGAACTTCCCAATTCCCTCCTCAGGTTGGAAACCAATCGACAAATGTTCTGCCCAACTCCCCTGATCTCTCCACCCAACATAAAACGGGGATATAGCAGTGGGGCCCACTTACGGGTGACAAAGCCAACTCCAGGCACATGATCAGTCAACAAACGCAGAAGGTGGAGGATCCAGCCCCTAGGAAGGGAGAGAGTATGAATGAGCCCAGCGGGACACCTCCTGTCCCAGCTGCTGGATGCACAAACAGCAGTGGCAGCTGTAAGGCAAGGGCTCAGATTAAGCCAGTCACAGGCACCCAGACCTCCTCAGATCTGCACCCCCAGTCCCCTGACACTATTTCTGTTAAAAGGGACATTTTCAGCAAAAGCCCAGCAGGGGCCACTTACTCTGAATATCGGTCATAGAAAGGAGATCTCAGCAGGTAGTACAGCAGCAGGAGGGTTCGTCGCCTCAGCTCCACTCGCTCTCGCCTGTTCAGGTCTTTCAGATTGCTCATCAAGCTCAGACTGGAAGGAGAAGGGCAGAGAGCTAACTCACGGCAACAGCAGCCAGCAGGGAAAAGAAAGCGGGTTTCTAAACGCCCTCCGTTCTCAGCTCCAGGCAGCGCAGGCTGCACCAGCTCAGAATGCAGAGCACTGTAGGCGTTGCAGAAGATACCTGAATGTGTCAGTCTCCCAGCTAAAGCCCAACCCTGGGCGTATTTCTCTAAGTAGGGCCCGCCCAGGATTGGGGAACAGGGGGAAGTGTGATGCTCAGCCACCACCAACCTCAAGCACCTGCAAAGACTCTTCCTCAGACTGACCTTGAGATGTCCACAACTGCTGAGAGGATCCAGGGTTTCCACAATCTCTGGCCCCACACTCCTAAACTCAATACTAGGAACACAGTTAAGGAATGGAAGGAACCAGAGACGCCTGGCAAGAGGCACACAGTCAAGGGATCCCCCAGGTACCAGCAAAGCTCTGCTGAGACCAGGAGAATCCACTCCTGGCAGTGCTGGGGGTATCAGGGAAGGGGCGGGAGGACTTCCACCCACAACTCCGGCGGCTGAGGTATAAGGGAGGAGTCCTGAGGCCCCTGCCTCCGCAGAGCGGCCGCAGGGAGCGAGAAACCCAGCGTGGCACTGCCCTGCTTCAAGGCCAAGCCCGCAGCACCTTCCGACAGCAACCGGGGTACAGCGCGTTGCCCGCACACAGCCAGGGCAGGATACGGTGAAGCAGAGGGCAGGTAATGTAGAGGGATTCTGCAATGGTTGCTTGGAGACCCAGAGGGGTGGGAGGCTGGTTCATCTCCTCCGCTCTTCGGCTCTGCAACTCCTCCCTCTGCTGGGGGGATCCCCAGTGCCGGGACTGCAGGGATGGGGCTGAAAACAAGCAGATCTGGTCACCAACACAAATAAAACCTTCCTATCGCACTTCCTCACACCACCTCACACCCTCTGCTTTCTACACCATGAAGGTGTGGAACGGGAAAGCTTGAAGAACCGCGCGTGCAGCAACTTCTGCGGCTGACCTGCACCCTCAGAGCTTTGACTCCGGGGGGACAGAGCAGGGAGAGGTACTCTACGGCCCGCGCTCCCCAATGCATAGACATATAGAAGCGTTGTCTCAGTTGCACAGCTCGCTTGGGAAAACACAACTCTAAGTGCTCCCTTGCAGCATGTGCCCGAATCCCCGTTGCTTCGATATCCTCCCCATCCACAGGGCCCAGTGACTGGCAGGATATATCCCAATACACCGTTCTGTTCTGTACTGCCCATGCCCAGGTGACACATAAAGGGCACAGAGCACAAACAGCTCAGGCAAGGACAGGAATGGGCTCAGCTACTTACTGCTCTGGAGAGAGCGCACAACGCGGCTGGAACGCTTGCCAACGTATGTCTGATCCTTCTCTGAGCAGTTGTCTTCAATGCCTGCAGGACACAAAAGCCACAGGGGTCAGGCCCCGAAGGAACACGCCTCATCCCAGAGCTGGCAGCACCCTTCTCTACATTGCCACCAAGACGACCAGTCTGAAAGGCAAACCTCATGCAAACCAGACCATCCTGAAGGGCCTAATGCCACACAGAGCTGTCAGAGGGTGAAAAGGTAAGGCTGCCTGACGTTGCCCAGGCCTAGGATCCCTTTCCTCGCTGCCAGACTGGGACACACACAGCTTGACTCACAGTTCAGTCAGTGGTTCCAGGCTTAGACTCCTGCACCCCCTCCTTCCATGCTGTAGGACAACCCTGTCACTAACCCATCCTCTGCAAAGGGTAAGACGTCCAGCTTCCTGTGCTGAAGCCTTACAATTCCCTGTGCCGCCCAAACTGCTGCTCTGATGAGTAATTCCCAGCAGGGCAAGACATGTGGCCCAGCAAGGAACCGAGCCAACGATGACAGCACCGTGGGCTCACCTTGGGGGTGGAGAGGCTGCTGCTGCTCCCTGTTCAGCGGCACAATGGGAGGAGATGTCTGGATGCCGGCTCTGTACCGGAGCAGGAGCAGGAGACGAAGGATGGCTCTGTGGGCAGACACATGGAAGCCTTCAATACCAGGCTATGGAGCGAGGTTCCTGCTGCACTGGAAAGGTGGCTTCCACAGAAGAGGGAGACACTCAGGCCTGCTCATGGAAGCTGGCAAGGTGAGAGAGGTAAACGTCCCCTTTCGTGGCACAGTAGCCAGCACACTGTGGGGCTCCAAATTCCCCCAGCCACAGGGACCGGAGGCTCAGTCCCGCTTGGACATTTTTCCTGGGGTACTGCCCAAGTCCCCATCCAGATCCCCTTTCCGAGCACACACTGTCTCTTCCCGTCTGTCTGCGACACTTACTTAGCCAGCTGGATGAGGACAATGATAGTCCACCGACTCATCTTCCCCCACACCCTGGCTGTCCCCATCTCTGCAAAGACCTCCACGCATTCTAGCACGCTCAGCCAGGTCAGCAGCTTCTGCTGGGTCAGTGACTGCAAAACACAGAGGGGAGGAGGGGGACAGGATGCAGGTTCTGCTTGGAAGTTAAATGGGTCAGAAGCACCGCCCAGTCTGGTGGAACCCTCAGAAATAAGCACTTTGGGCTCTGACAGCCAGAGAAGCAAGTCTTCTGTATTTCTGTCTGTCACACACCCGGTGCTCCAGCCAGAGAGCTGCCAACACCCAAACCCACACAGCAGCCAGGCTTGCAACAGAAGAGGCCTGACTGGAAAAAAACCCTCCCTCCTCCTCGCTCCCCAAAGGGTCAGAGAAGTGCTGGGAGCCAGCCTGGGGCTCTTGCAAGAGAGACGTCGAATGAGGTGGTTGTATTTGTTTTGCTCAATACCAGTGTGGCAAAGGAAGAGTCTGCGGGATGGAATCAGAGCTTCAGTGCTCCAGAGCCACTGCTCTGGAAACCACAATGGTTGTTTGGCAACATCTTTGCCTATCTCGAGGTCTGAGCTTCCCAAAAAAGCGCTGAAGCGCCTGGTGCAGATCAGGGCCTGATTTCTGTGGCGTGGGGAATTCTCTGGCCACTCCTCCAAGCCAGGAGCTACAGGGCAGGGCTGCTGTTCACCTGCATTCAGAGGTTGCCTCTAGCCTCTACATACCTGACAGCAGAGAGAAGCCACAGCAAAGTTTCTACAGACACTCCCTGAAAGCTTCTGCAAGGAAGAAAGCATGTGTCCCAAATCCTCCTCCCACACACTCCAGCCTTACCACAGGCAGGCTTTGCTGCAGCTCCTTTCGGAGAATCCAGTCGTTTAATAGCACCAGGAGACTGGAGGCAGAGTACACTGGAAAAGGAAGAGAAGGACACCACAGTTATGGGACGCACAGGATGCAAACCAAATTGGAACCGCTACCTCTCCCCGGGATGGGATGAGGGAAGAAGTGCAACAAGACACGCAGATTCCTCCCGCGGGCTGCTGGGGGATGCAGCCAGGCACCAGGAAAACAAGGAGTCCGGGGAATAGCCCCACACGCACCCACGCAAAGGCACACCACCAGCCCTGCAGCCGGCGGGGGCCAGGCCGTCCCGGTGCCCCACGCCCCCCCAGCTCCTCGCTGCCCACCTACCCAGTTCCGACAACGTGTG